CAGAAACATAAAAAAAATTGGAAAATTTAGTTTCATTCTTTAATATCTTTAAGATCTTTGTATATGATTATTAATTTTATTTCTTTCTAATATCAAACTATTAAGTTTTCATAGCGAGTTTTCTTTCACGTTTATGTTCAAATTTCTTTAGTTATAACCTTAATTAATGCCAAAGCGCATGTTTAACTGCAAACTTTGCAGTCGTTACTGTAGCGAACAGTGCTAATATCGTTTTCAGTTGAGCGATAAAACGAACATATGTCGAGCGAGACAGTACCCGTACAGTCATAAACGCAAGCGTAATAGTGATTGAGGATAATAAAATACGAAAATAAACAGGCGTTTTCACTGGCACTAACTAACATCTACGTAGAACCGCGAACGTTTGCCGATGTTTTTCTTTGAGGCGTTGTATTTTTAAATCATTGATGGCTTGAATAAAACATTGACATTATTATTTATCATTTACTAGCTGTTGCTCGCGGGTGCGTCCACGTAAAAATATAATAAAAAGCCTATGTTACTCAGCAATAACGTAGCTTTTAATATGTGAAAGAATTTTTGAAATCGACAAAGTAGTTTTTGAGTTATTTCGACACATACAAAAATCCAAAAATATAAATATTTCCTTTTGATAATATAGTATAGATGAATCAAAGAAAATACACGCGTATGTGTGTATGATGAGGATGAGAGTAGGATAGTGTGATACCTCATGTAACGAAACTTAGGGGCGTTGTATAATTCTTGTTTTCATATCAAAATATTACCCCTATTACGCAATAGGTAAGGCAGTTCATAATATGCAAAAGTATTACAAAAACCATTGCTAACAAATAATTTTTACTACCATACTATGACTTACGTATCTTTGTCTATTATACTTTTAAAACTAAGGCTCAAATAAAAGCTTTTAAAATTCCTCAAAATTACATTGTTTAAAACAAAGTTGTCTTTAAATCTGATTTAATTGCCTCATTAGTGTTTCAAAAGCTAGTATAAAGATAAATACCATTTCATCGAGTTATTGATGTAGTTAAGAATACAGACATAATAAAATAAAGAACGTAAAGAAATGTAAAACAAGATGAAATCATAATGGTGCCTTTTTGCGAAACTGAAAACATTAATTTGCATATGATAAATTCTATAACCAAGCTAAGGCCCACAAAGGGCTGTAGAGCTACAGAAGAAAAAGAACAAATACTGAAACTACTAATCATATTAGAATAAATTACTTTATTAACTTTTCTAAAGCTTTTAAATAATATATCAAAGTTAACGTAATATTTAAGTAGCAATGTAACGTTCCGTTCTACGCAGTGTATTAGATATTAAATTAAATACTTGAACACAACTATGTAAACAACGATATTGTAAAAAACATTCTGGCGCAACGAGTTAAATATGTGCGTAAAGTGGTTTGGATCTGTGTCAAACAAAATGCTAATCCAGCTGTTTGTAAATGTTCGCACGTCGCCTTTGATTTAAATACTGTTATTAAGAGCAAAATAAACAACATTTTGATGGAAGTTGGCGCGTGAAATTGTACATCATACGTTATTAACATAAGCATTACCAACAATAACAATAAAAAAGCTGGAGAAAAATTGTGAAAAGTTAAAGTATTTAATACCCTTCGTAAATTTCTTGATAAGAATCTTTTGGTCTCCATTGTTTGAAATTATAAAAAAACTATTTATATTTTATTGTTTACATTTGGTAAAACGTCAAAATTCAAATGACAGTAAAGTCCCTAGACATAGGCTGCATATTGTATTATGACAAACCAAGCCAATCTTTTTTGCTGCTATTGACTTGTATTTTTTCTTCCTTTCTCCCATGAAGGTTTTTCCAATTTAATGTGTCGTAAGTGTAAGGCTATTAATTAATAAAATGATTATTTAAAAAATGCTTTAATTACTGACATTCTATAAAGAAATGTGTGTTTACGCTTTATTAAATTAGTATAGATATAGACAGCTTCGCCCGCGTGAAATAAAAAATATGTTACTCACAGATACATTACCTTTTTAATGGTGAAAGAACTTTTAATGTGTTATTTCAGTACAAACCAAAAAACAATTCTTTCCTCTTTATAATATTAGTACAGATAGATATAGATAGATTGTGTAGTGCCTGATCATAATTAACCAACGAGAAAACATTTAGTTACCCTTAGAGATCTGATCGATGTGAAAACAACAAACACGTTCATGTTTATATGAGATTGATGTAGTTTTATTAGTGTCTGGTGAGGCGCCATTGAAACGCGTTTCAAACGATACGCTCGGATTACAGACGAGAATAACTGAAAAGTTACTGCGTGCAGCGCTTTAGGCGGTTTGTTAATTCAATTTCAGTTAAGTTGCGAGATCAAATTGTCTGTTATTTGTAGTGTTTTTCAATATATAAAATCAATGATATTTGTTCTTCTTAATTGACGTAGAGTTTTTCGTATATTGAATGAAGATTCTTTATTGTATATTCAGTAATTACCTCATCATTATAGCCTAGGCTCCTAAACTAGGAAACCCTGTGCTTAAAGAGCCATTTGGAAATTTAATATTAATAATCATTTAAAAAAACTTTATTTTGTGTCGAAATATAAATATCCTATTTTCGTAATTTCATGACAATAACAAATATTATTAATACAAATTATTATTATTAAACTAATTTAAATATGATATTCTAACGTAACTCTTATCAAAATCCGTTGGCACGAGTATGATCACATTATGCACAATCTATTGCCCGAGGAAATCTCCACTCCGTGAACTTTCCATTGATACACAATTTGCCTTTCAAACTGAGATTTTTCCGCAGCTATGCCGTTATTCCGCACAACTTACGACGTCGTGTGCACCGTAGTCCGTAGTAAGCTGACGTTTTAATAAGAGATTTCCTTTAGTATTTCATACTATTTTTGATAAATCCCGTAAAGTTTAATATAACTCCAAGTAAAGCAAAATTAAAAAGTAAATTCGAACATGAAAGGTATTTATAGAGACAACGGATATAAACATCAAAAATCTTTTATACAGAGAGTTTAAAATATTATTAAAGAGTTCGAAAAAAATGCAGTTTTATTCGTGGATCCATTCGCGGGAGCCGAGTCTATTTTAATGTTAGGTCGCGAAAAAATAGTTTATGGTAACATGAATCTTTGCAGACTGTCCGTATGAAAGCTATGTGATAACGCTTCAACAGGGTTAATAGTCTCGCATCCAGTTTGGATTGTTGCCTAATGCGTTTGTGACATGTATTTTTTTTATCATAATTCGGTATCGAAATGTCGGGAATAATACAGTTTTCTGTACGGACAGTATATCGCCGCTGTCTCCAATGGGAATGTGGATTTCACATTTATTTTTATACGATTATTTCAATGACTTTTGTTTTGTTTCCTCTATAGAGTTTAATTGTTCTGTGGAGCCGGTATAAAAATAAACAATCAAACAAAGCTTTTGTTATGAACTGAAAGACATAATAGGCGGAAATATATCGGAATTCAGATTATGGCAGCCTGTTGACACGTTATATGGTATATTTATTTATTTATTTATTGGAAAGGTACACCAATTGCATGTTCAAAGTTTACAACCAAATTAATATACCGTATACAATGAAAAACAAAGAAGCAGAAGAACATACAGATGACAGGCGTACACAGCGCTCACAAAAAATGATGTTTTACTTTTTAATAACAAACGTTGAATCACGTTAATTACAACTACTACTACTATATTGAGTTTCCATTACTAAAACATCTGTACTAAAACATTTTTATGTTTAATTTTTCTAAGATTATGAGGGAAATATCAATGTTTACGAAGAAATATTCCATCAGTGAAAACCCAAGAGCAATAATTTAAATATTTAACGACAAAATATATAAATATTACTGTGTAAAATATACCTCCCATTTTACATTTTCAAATGACGTTGAGATTAATCAAAAATGTTATTTTAAAAACAGTTTGTTGCCCCTACAGTGCGAAAAGTATAGCGGAATACATATATTGCTAATTGTAAAATGTCTGAAAGCTATTCTAATTTGCAAACAGGCAAACCGCCAACATCTGCAAGGGCACACGTGATTAGAACTATACACACCAGTCTATATAAACATTTAACTTTGTGTATTAAGGTTTAAATGTTATAAAATACAACCAAAATCATATATTATACCTATTTTTTACTGCCTTGTTTTAAGTACGGTTGATTCATTCGACTTTTAATTATTTTTTCGTGTTGAAAATGAATACAAAACACGAAAAGTTTGTGATCATGTATACTTGTCTAATTTATTTTAATGAATAAATTTTAATTATTCTTTCAGAATGGCGACTAAAGAAGAAATTGTGGAGACAGTAACTAAAGTAAGTTAAATTTAATAATTAAATAAAAAAAGTGTGCATTATGGTAGACTTAACTATAACTGTCTTGGGTCAAACCCAAGAAAGTCGGGATAATGTTTAACTTAACACTACGAAAAAGGCAAAATTCTCTTAACAAATACTTCTTTTGACGTATTCTTGTGATTTACAGGACATACAAAATAGTGCTGTGAAACTAAAATAATAGAAACTAAATGAATCGATATTTTCTGAAACTTTATAATTAAATTAATCGAAAGGCCGCAACCTTTTTACAAACAGGAACTGAACAGTAAGATTTCAAAATCCGGAACTGCAAATTTAAATTAATATCATGATGAAATGGTTGAAATGCAAGCAAACATTAATGTCCGCCGTATCGACGATCGAGCAAGACAAATTGTAGACGAGGCGTCCGTTAATATTGGGGTCGAGACCAAAATACATGTCGGGTACGGATCGCGCGCCAGTAGGCGTAGGGCGGCGCGAGCGCCGACCGCGCTGTGCCTTCGCTCTTAACATATCGCCTCATTTACTGAGCACGGGCTAAAATTAACCGCTACCAGATAATCCACTTGCAACAATACACGTGTAAAACCTTGTGTCGAAGTGATGTGAAATCTAGAAAAAATAAAAGTGAATTTAGTTAATTAATTATTGTGAAAAAAAATCACAAGAATTCGTGATCTGGACACAGGAAGCAAATGAAATTTATCTAGAATTTAAATTGTATGTGAGTATTTTAAATTTATTTTTTACATTTTTTGTCAAATTGCCAAACTCTTGTTAAATGTTTGAGAACATAAAAATATTTTATAACAATATAATAAAACATTTACAATTAGAATATGATCAAAAGGAAATAACAAAATTGTGCTATATTTCAGAAAAATGAATCCACCGTCGGCTCTATACGGTGCAATGAATAAGGAGCGAAAGCCGTTTACCTACACTCCTGGTGGACTAGACCTGTCACAGATTAAATCAGAACGTATGGCCCAAAGACTGATGAGAAATGCAATGGACCAAGGTGTCCCGGAGCAACCGACCCCACATCTACAATCGCCGCCGACACCCACAGCATTAAACGTGCCCAATTTTAATTGTTTACCAGTACAAGTGTTCCCAACTTTCCCACTTCCATCGAATCCAAAATCATTATTGAAGACGAGAAGCAACCAACAAAAGGAACCATGTTTACAAGATATACCAAATTCTGAACAATTACAAACAGATTTCAATCAAATTGGTTTAAAACAATGCTTTGAAAACAATAATCAAAATATATCGAATTATAATCAACCAAATAACGATAGCAAAAACAATGAACAATCTTTACCATTATATGAATATACTCCGCCTATAGTTCGACCTTACCCGTGTGAAACAAGTTCTCCCAAATGTTACATACCTAAAGCAAAAGAATTATTAACCAATGAAGATAATCAGTACAAATACTATGATGATTCTGTGAATAACAGAAGCAGTTTGGCATACGAACCTTCTGTCACAACCAGCTCAGATACAACGCAAAAATCTTTAATGACTTCGACTTACACAATGGAAAAAAATATACCTGAAACTTTAGAAGAGGTGATAGGAACTGAAAATAATCAGGTGGATGTAAAATCACTATATATTTATTATGTGTATGTCTATATGTTTGTGTACATTGTTTGCTATGTGTATTTAATGTACAATATTAAAGATACATGAAGAGAAAAGCATTTTTGTGAGTTCTTAATCTTAGCTTTTATAACTTAACATGATAATAACATTTTCATATCAATGTTTTATTTATTGATATTCTTGGAAATACTATACTCGAAAAGTTTTGGTTAAGTAATTTTATTATTCAATGATTGCGATTTTTTTCAGAGTGAAACAAAAGTCGTTAAGAAACAAGTTGAAACAGAAAATAATACAGAAGAACAAAATGGTGACGCGAATGTTGAAGCTGCTGTCACCATAAAGTTACCTGGTAAAAAATCGTCAGCTAAGACAGAGACAAAAGTGGAAGTAGTTAAAAACGTTCGACCAGATGGATCCACTGAAGAGGTTAAAACCACAACAACGAAGACCACTATTGATGGAAAAACGGAAATAAAAACCAAAACGGAAACAACCATTATACCAAAAGAAGAAGAATATGAAGAGGAAGAACTTGTAGAGGAGGAGGAAGAAGAAGAAGAAGAGGAAGATGAACAAGGGACTGCAGTTGTTGAAGAAACTGTTGCAACAAAGGAAGACCAAAACGAAAACAACGTAGAAAATTCAGAGGTAGACGAAGAAACAAAACAGGAACAAAAAGAAAATTTGAGTACTCAAGAAGAAACTTCGGAAACAATAGTAACAAAACAAGTAACAGTAACTCAATCTGAACAAAACCAGGAAAATTCTGATGAAGAAGTTGAAGAAGAAGAAGAAGAGGAAAAAGAAGTTGAACTTGAAAGTAAAAACGAAGAAAGTCAGGTTGAAAATAAAGTAACTGATAATAGAGAGGAATCGGAAGAAGATGCTGACGATGAGGACGAACAAACAGACATCCAAAATGAGAAGATTCCGAAACCCGAAGAAGATGGTGTTCAAGAAAACCAGGAGCCTGAAACTAAACCAGAGGAAAAAGTAGAAGAATTAGAAATTGTTGATACTACTGAATCTGAAGTAATCGAAACACCATTAGAAGAAACAAATAAGACGGAGGATGAAACAGAAAAAGAAGTTACTACAGACGATAGCAAAAGTACCACAAACGTCGACAACGAAGTGGTTGTTAGTCAACTTCGTGATAACGAACAATCCGAAAACAGTACAGCACAGGCCCAAGACACTAAATCAACTCATGAAAATAAGGAAGAAATTATTATAGAAGTGCAAGTCTTAAAACCAAGCTCACAGGAAACAGAAGACTCTAAGATTGAGAATGAAATTAAATCATCATTGCCAATAGAACGCAACATACCATTCAGAGAACCATCAGCTCCACTTGAGAAAGTCGAAGATGTGGAAATTAAACCAATAGGTGAAATTATTTCCAAAACTCGCACAGAAAATACCGAAATAATAACAACTTCATTAGATAAACCCACTACTGGATTGAGTACACAAACAGCATATAACAGAATTGAGAATATAGTGACAGTGAATAAAACAACCAAAACATTAGATCCAACGTATGACCAGCATGCCCCACTCGGCATTCCGACTGTTAAAACTTATTTCGCTCCTACAGACAGGTTATCAACGTCTCCTTATCAACCAGTTTATGCTCCCGAAACTCAAACTGAAAGAAGACACAGTTTGTTACTTGACCGGCTCAGTGTCGATCGTCAAATGCCACCCGCAGAACTTTACCAAACTAACTATCAGACTTATGAACAAAATCAGTGGTCTCAAGAACCTCAATCTGAAGTTCTAACAGTTAGCAATGTAAAACCTAGTACAATTACAAAGAACCAGCAATGGTATCAACAGACGAGAAAAGAAGAAGTATCTTATGATACTACCCCACCAACTATTAATGCGCCCACTCAAGACTGGAGTACACCAATACAACAAAGGCAAACACCCCAACCATCTCAAACTCAGTTCCAATATCAACCGCAGACACAGTCATCATACATTGATAAACAAGACACTTTTACCTCTACATTGAATAACTCCAGCACTTATCAACAGAGCACGTACCAACCGAGCTACACGCCGAAACCAACCAGCTGGGTAGGAAATAATGCCAATTTACCAAAAACGGTTCCCACTATAAACAAGCCACCGAGCCAGTATTCATATGTAAACAAAGAACCAACAGAAACATACCAAGCACCGCCTCAGCCATATTCATCTTCCTATATTCCACCTCCGTGGGAACAGGATTCCAACTATGTGCCGGAAAGTTTGAACACATCTTACTACACACCACCGCCAAGCAATACGTTTACCAGTAACGCTACACCAGCTTGGACACCGAAGCCAACTAGTAAATTTACAAAACCTAAACCAACATCATACATACCACCTGCACCGAATCAATCTTTCGTCAAACCAGTGACTGCGGCCGATCAACCAAAATTGCCTGGCCGTAAAACATACTACAGTGAATACGAGAGGCGTTATATCTCAGTACCAGAATCTACATACATACCGACAGAGAACAAGTTCCAAGCGCAGCCTGATCCCTCACCACAATATTACTATGACAATAACGAACCAAAAGAAACCGTGGAGCACGAGTGGCGAAAAGAGTTACGAGAATTTTCTGAGAAAACACAGAGTCAAACTAACACTGAGCAAACATCAGTGAGACCTCCATGGGAAGAAGATCCTAAATATTACGTTCCTACAGTCACTACTGAGTATACTCCCACACCTACGTGGAGTCAAACTTTAAGACCTAATTCATGGCGCGACAGGAGCTTCGAATCGGAGTTTGGAAGAGCGAAGGAATTATCAAGGACAAACACGTTAGGTCGTGGACGTCCTCAGAGCTCATACGTGAAGAGCAACGTTAGTACTCTTATCCCGGAGAGGACTCGTGGAGTATCAGTGGACAGATATAATCCAAATAATTATAAGTCTCCAGTACCGTCTGAATATCCTCCAGTTCAGAGTCACACTTTAGACCCATCCGTTGGCGCGAAGACATATCTTAACCCGAATGTTCCGGCTTATCACTCCCGAGCCTCTGCTGAACCTAGGTATGATTACTGCTATTTGTCCTATCTAGTTACCCTAGTTTTTGACATGAATGAAAATTAGTAGTCAAAGCTTTAAGCGCCAATAGCCTAAGGTGGACAGATTACCAATCACATGGTCGAAGGTTCGAATCCCGCCATTCGATTATTGTCGTAAACCATATCTTAGCCCAAGCCTAGAGTTAAGTTGGAATGGTACAAGATATATTAGTAAATATAAAAAACACTAATATTTAAAAAGAAAAGTAAAAGGTCCCTAATCCCATTTAATCTGGATTCATATCGTTTTCATGATTACTAAATCACTTCCACTTCCACTAGGAAGAGTGGTTAAAAACAATATAAGAGTAGTAATGTACATTTTGTTGCAAATTTCAGAGAGCAATCGGCAGCTTTCCCCCAACCCCGGCACTACGCGGAAGCGCGGGCACCGCCTCTACAATCAAGATCCTTTAAGTACCTCCAATGGATAACTGGAACTGAAGATTGAGCCAAAAATAATATACTATTAGCTTAAGGTATATACAAAGATCTAGAGATGAAATGTTATGCAAATGTACAGCGTTAAAATGAATTTCCATTTTTCAAGTTCACTAAATGAAAAGTGAGGATATTTAAAATGAAAAGATTCGAAAAAGAACGAAATTTTAGTTTCTAATTAATGTAATTTTCACTGTAAAGATTAAAATTAATTTTATTTGGAATACAATTGTGAATTTTAACACGTGTCAAAATTTTTAGTGTGGTAAAATCATGACAAAGTTTTTAAATGTTACATTTTTGCTGAGAATCTGTTGGACTTCAGATATTATTGCTATGTGATATTTTCGTATACCTAATTTGCTAACCTAGTCATTGGGGACATCTATAGTTACTATATTTAAGGACTTAAAGCTTTGTTTTTTAATTACGTACTTACAATTATTTTTTATTTCGTTTTAATGATTTTTTTATTTAACATTAGTTTAGTTTGTACATTACTGCATACCGGCTTTTATTTAGTTAAAACTCGTGTTATGTACATTTTGTACGATTTATTTGATAATACTGTATCATAATAACACTAGTAAATATCACATCAAACGTTTATTTCATAAGTTTTCGTTATTGTAAACTTCCACAGTCTAGATGAGTCATTTTAAAAGTCATTTTTGACATATATCAATTTTATAGTGAGGTGAACTGCTTAAAAACATCATATAAAGTAAACGAATCGATACAAACATCAAACATATAATAATCGAATTCAGTTGTTATTAAAAAAAAAACATGTTTTTACGATATTCTTGTAACATCAAAGATCGGAAATGTGTTCGTTGACGCAACATTGTAATGACGTTCGATTGATATTACATTGAATTCAAAGCGGTTAGTAATTCTTCTAAAAATAAATAATAGCCCGCTGTTTCAAGGTTACGTTGACAACTTTCAATGAACAGTCACTGTGACTTATTAAAATGGCTCATCTTTAAACACTTGTATAAAAGTATAATGCTATCCCTCTTAATCTCTCAGGAAAAAAAGAGACAGTTTTTGTACAAGTGTAAGGGATATTCACGGTAAATGCATGGATGCATCCATTATGTAACAGTTTAAACATTTTTTATATTTTAATTTGTGAAAACGTTGTTGAGTTTATTTAATAAAGACTTAATAAAATGTTCTTTTAATTTATCAATATTTTGTAGGGTAGAAAAACCTTTATCCAAAAATCAAATTAGTTGACAGAAAAGAGAGATACTTACATTTTGTTGGAAATTTTTAATGAAATTGACATTAAAAAAGACCTTTATTTAAAAAGTCCAAATTTTGAAATAACTAGTATTGGATAATTAATTCGCAGACGTAGAAATTAAAAAGATCAGAACAGCACAATAATGTTCTATTATTTTATATATCAAAAATCTTCACAGGTGACCTAGTAAGTTTCGTCGCATAACAAAGTTATTGTATAATAACAGGAGTTAACATTCCCACCGACCACTCCGTTCGTTCTCCAGTGGAGTGAAAAAACCGTAAAAACCTCTTATAGACGTGCTACACCGAAATGCTCTCTCCTGCTTCCCAACTATTCCACTTAACGCCCGCGAATAGCCTGTCTAGGTGTCCTTAACGTGAAATGTTTAATTTAATTCTAAATCTAAAAAATAAAAACTAAACTAGATAACTTTAGAAAAAAAATAGAATAAACATCAGTTATATCACATACCATCATATTTTTTAAAGAGTGCACGCAGAACTTTGACTAAAATATCGAACAACTGTTTAGTTTCGCTTTGCTATGCGTTTATATAGCAATACGTACACTAAAATGTCCTATTTTTATGTGACATAGGAAAAAAGTAAGTAAGCTACCGTGTTTCGCCAAAATAGCAAAACAAGCGCAACTTATAAACACCCGTAATAGCAGATAATGTCTACTTTTAATTGACAGAGGAAAGACCGATCAGAAAAAGGACATTTTATGAAACTAACGATCGAACCCGGATTGCATATATCTTACTAATATTATGAATGGTTGGGATGGATGGATGTTAGAGTTTAAAACATAAACAGGTAAACTGATCCTTATGAAATTTGACATATAGATGTAAAGGATTTGTCTGAAAGAAAACATAGGCTACTTGCTTTTGTTTTTTTTTTTTAATTCTACGCGGATGGAGGCGCGGGCGAAAGCTAGAAACTGCCAGTAACTTATAAATATTACAAGTTACTGGCAGTTAGAATCATTATCGGAACTTATGGTAGCACAATTCAATTATAATTAAAACCGGTTCTATTAAACACTCGATACTATGCTTTATACTGTGTATTGGCGCGGAAATCTAATCCTGACGGAGTTTTTTTAACGAAGGAGAACTATGATGTGAAAGCCAATATTTATAGTTGGCAATGAGCCAAGAAATTCATTACGCATTTCAGTTTATAGTTTCATTGCAAATGTGGCAGTCATTTCCGGAGAACAAAAGATCAGATTGTATTAATAGAGATGGACAATAAATCCATACGTGTTTATCCTGTTTATATCTGATTTTTTTTATTGTACGGTTTTTACTTTTTTTTGTGTGCCACTTTTGTTATTTATCTTACTTCTTACTAATATTATAAATGCGAAAATCAAGATGAATGGATGTCGGTTAGAGTTTGTAGTCTAAACGGTTGAACGGATCCTGATGAAATTGGTCAGTTGTTGTGTAGTCTGGAAGAACACATAGGCTACTTACTTTTGTTTTTTTTTTTTAATTCCACGCGGACCTAGAAACCTAGTTAACAATAAGTTATTAACCAGCATAAGTTTATTTTGAAATGCTGATACTACCAAAACAATTTAAAGAAAGGAAGTAAAGTAAGGTAAGAACGGGCTTCCAAGGACACAAATTAAGATAATTTACTTAACGGCCAATGTTTACGCGATACGATCGCAAGAAGGAAACGATTATGACAGCTATTTCTTATAATAGTCAAAACCTTTACACAAATGCTCGAGTCTTATTATCATTCTTAGTGAAGTTGGTAAGAAAATTACATTTTTTCCCCCGAATAATTTTTATCTCAACATTGGACGAAATGAAATTTTAGAAACGTTTAAGATGCATTTACATCGTGATGGCAATACGCGAACGCACTTCATTCAATGTAATGACAGTTAAAATAAGGTTAATGCAAGAAAACAAACAATGTAGAACGAATAAAAAACCAATAACATCTCATGTATAAAAAAATAATCAAACCATATAGGCAAACTATTACAATTAAGATACATAAAAGTTTAAAAAGACAAACTTTTGTTATAAATAATAAAGCAATTATATAATGATACCGTAATAAATATTTTCATTGTCCAAACAAATCACTTTAAGCTTCATATCTTAACATAGTAGTACAATAAAAATGTCTGGACCATTTATAGGTTATAAAGAGATATTTCCAAGTTGGCGCGCTTCCAGAACATTCTTCGCGGATTGCAGTCGCGATTGTTAACCAATTGTTATCGTGCGTTTCGTGATAGATATGTCAAACTGTATTTTATTTTCTTATTTCAATTTGATATACGAGTACAAGTTTACAGTACACATTGTAGTTATTCCTCATTTATTTTGTTTTAGAAAAATAAGCAGATATATATTGAAAATCAAAATATAACCTAAAAAAGTAAGGTGAACACTGCGGTTTGACAGAATAGTTATGATACTTTTTAAGTTTTTTCTTAGTGTCGAATTTTCTTTTTAAAAGATGCCAGTATGGATAGATAATAAAAGTTTTAATATTTCAATGTTGGTACCATTCATATTTTAACATCTAGCACAGTTCGCATGCACTATCACAGGTATTATAAACTGGTAAGTAAAAGAGCACTTTCTTTTATCCACAAATCCTCTATATTAAATGCAAAACTCCGGTCACGTTCGCTAGCAAATAAGGATTTACGGTTTTCCTCATTGCGTTTAACTTGCTTCACTCCTCTGAAAAACGTAAAAAACCTCTTTTTACCGCCGCCGTACAACGAAATACTCTCATGCCGCCAAACTATTTCACTTAGCGCCTTCCTATGCTTGCTTTGCTCTGGATAGGTGTTTTAATCTGGAATCTTTTAACATTACATTTAAATGTACATTTGTATTCTTTGATGCAAACCTTGTATGTAGTTACTGTAGATAATCCGCTACAAGCAAAGAAAAGTAACTTTGACACAGAAGAGTAAAGAAAGTATGCACGGATTTTGAAAGATTATATGCGTAAGAAGGGAGTCAACGTGATAGATGATAGAGATGTATGTTGTAAGAACTTTCTCGATCCTTTGTTAGTGAAAGGGCAAGGAAAAAAATCGAACAACGTAATGCGATAATTCTAAAATAATACAATAATTGGTTTTGGTTGTTTTGAAAAGAAGTAATAACTGTATTTTTACACTACTTTCTGAAATGTGCACTCTCGTTTATAAGTCTCTTGGGGGAAAGATTTTATTTCGAAGGACAAAAATTGCTATTTGTTTCACAAAGGAGTTCTTTGTCCGCGAATACAATAAAGGATCCGTTTTTGCAATTTCGATTTTTATTTCAATATAAAGTTTCTTTTGCATTGTATCGCGATACTTTTGCAGTTTTGTACGATCTATTCTTACGTTTCAAGTGTTTTATGATTGCAAAAAATAAACTAGGAGAGGCTATCCTTTGAAGGAAAAATTGTAAAACACTTAAAAGTTTAAAAGTTAAGTAAAAAGTTAAATATCTATTCAAGAAAATCCATTACTGAACAGTAGGATACTATAAGATAATAATAATCATTAAAAATAAATAAGTTTCAAACCAAAAATGTTTATGTTAAAAAACACAAACAATCGGTTCGATTTTTTTGCAATAAAACACAATATACGATTGTAAAAGTTCTAACGCGATAAGAGGCTTTTCATCGCCGGCGTAGAGCCACAGCGGTCATCACAAATTGATGTCATTCTGTTTATCCGTTCAATGTATACTGCTTTATGATAAATGTCGCAATTTATCCACTTCAGCTGTAATCTGAACGGAAATGGAGGAAAGATTTTTCCTTCGTTTCTATTATGACAAACGATTAGGTTCCTTACTTTTCTTAATAAATGCGATTAAATGTATTTGCCAGTTATTATATTACTCTTAGCGCCAGAAACTCAGTCCGAAAAGTATTAAAAAATCTTAAGTAGTCTATGTATTCTTCCAGCTTATGCTCTACATGTATGCTTAATATCATCGATTTCCGTTAAGTCCTCTTAGAGATATGTAGAAACGTAGCACAAAAAAGCTTATAGCAACATGGTATTACATTTCGTTTTTCTCATTAAAAGATATTTTTTTTTTTATGAATAAATAATCTCTAAACTTAGTATTTTAACATCCACACATTAATGCTTTCGCATTTTTATTTTAGTAATTGGATCACGACATAAATGTATATGAGTACAATTACATGAAATTGTAAGAGCGTGTGCACACCTGAATCTATCGCACAACTGTTTAGTCACGCTTTGATTTCTATGAGCTTACATGGAGGTGTGCACACAACTCAATTGTTAGTTGTACAACTAAGCTACTGAATTGGCTGCGAAACAATCGACAATCGCAGTTGTGCGATAGTTTAGTCAAAGGTGTGGTGATTTTTTTGCACTCTCTCTCAAACAACTAACATTATTTGACGTAGCGTTCACGAAATGAGAGACGTTAGGCGGCTTAAGATGAAAGGGTTTCCGGAGTAAATTTCACGGACGCACCGAACAATCAAGAGAAAGGCACCACTCAGGAGAATACACGAAATTCCTCTCGTTAGGCGATTACGCTTCTAATGTTTTCGATGAAAAAAGGTTCGTAGTACACACCTATAAACAATTCGCCAAGTTCTAGTGATGGGAAACATATTAAAGGGATTTATCAAATGACGAGCTGCCGGACAGACAGACAAACAAAAATTTTTTAAATGCGGATTTCGTTATAAGCAACGCAAATACATCATCTCCCCGAAATCTGGGATTTTTTCTTTTGATATTACAAACAGACACTCCAATTTAATGACATAATGCTTCATTTCAAGTTTTTACCAACAATTGTTATGGCAACTAATAGTTTTCTAGTTACGATTAATGTAATAAAATTTTTATCTTTAAGTGAAAAATTCAACATCAAA